GGCCTGGCATTCCAACCGGAACTCCATCAACAAACATATTGAACTGGACCCGATATACAAACCACTGAAAAACAGAACCAGAAGTAATACCAGAGGTAGTAGGAACTGCAGATGCTGGAGAATCTGAGATAACAAGGTGTAGAGCCGGATGAACACAGCAGGCCAAACAGGAAGGCTGACATTTCGGCTGAATAGACAAGGTCATTTTCTCAGGGTAGGGGAGTCCAAAACTAGAGGGGACAGGTTCACGGTGGGACGGGAAAGATTTAAAAGGGGCCTGAGAGGTCTAGACCCGAAACGTCAGCCTTCCTGCTCCTCTGCTGCTTGGCCTGCTGTGTTCGTCCAGCTCTACACCTTGTTATCTCAGAAGTAATACCAACCACCCCAGAAACCTGAGGCATATAAATAACAAGTGGGACGGAACACCAACGCTTCACTGGAGGCTCGCTCACGATGTTACCTAGTAAGGTGATGAAACATCTGCAATCAAACACATCGGCTCAGCGAGCAAGTCTACAACCTCGTTTTGGTGGGTTGCTTTCATCACAGCCTACTTATTCTCTTCCACTCGGCACTCAGCATCAGTTGTTCAGCATCTCTTCTGACCTCGCTTACTATGGTTAATCCCTTGTCTGCCTACCCGTTTGATTATATCTCTCCCCCTTCCTTCTCTCTTTCCCCCCTTCCCCCCCCCCTTTCCTTCTCTCCTCCGCCCCCCCCCCACTTCCTTCTCGCTTCTCCCCCCCCCCTCCTTCATTCTCTCTCTGTGGGCTCTAACTCCCCTCTCCCCTGCCATCCTCCAACCTTGTCTGAAGAAGTGTCACTGGATTGATAATGTTAACTCTGCTTTCTGCCGACACATGCTGCCAGACTTGCTGAGTTTTTCCAGCAGTTTCTGTTTTTGTTTCAGTTGGAAAGACTGCATTTTGACAGTGCAGGTCTCCCGTGGAGTGTCTCCTTTTATATTGTGCTCATATCCTGGAGAGGGACATGAACCCGTCACGTTCTGACTCTTAAATGAAAATGTTCCCAACTAAACCATCGCTGAGGTTTTCACTTTCCTTTCAGAAACATATTCTTGAAGCTTTTTGTGCTGTAATTATCTGGACATTCATGAGAATACCCATGTAAATGTTCCTCGTTTTGACTATATGAGGAGAGTGTGTTGATTGGTGGACTCTGATTTGTAGGCTGGTTGCCTTAGAGAATGTCCTGCTAGGATGATAACTAATAGTTAATTGCTGAACCACCTTTTGATTTTAAATCAGACAGGTTTACTCTGGTCGAGGAATGAACGAGAGAATGCTGTCTCGTATTTTAAATTGAAATGAGTGTATACGCATTCTTTTGGTCTGCAAAGAACAAGGCTTTTTTTGTTTGGATCAAATTTGCAAATTAATACACAGTATCACTTAGCTTATTTAGGAGTTAAGAGTGCTTGGACAGTTAATGCGTCCAGACGTGAGTTAACTGCAATTAGATGTGAAAAATAAGTTGATGATTATTTGGGCCAAACACCATTTCTTGTGCACCAACATGTGATGAAAACAAGAGGTTAAATTTGTTCTTGGCCTCTTCTATTATAATTTTGATGTGAGCTCCAGTTTTGCATGTTTTTCTAAACCTGCCGTGGCAGAATGAAAGACACCTGAGGGAGTTTATTCTCAGACAAATTAAGACCCAAGTTCTCTTTTCAGATTAGAATGAGAAATGATGTACTTGTGCTGGCTACAGTATAACAGTTGCAAACTGTGGTGCTACAATTTCCTTTAAAATAAAACCTTGGATTCTGCGTACATACTCACATGTTGCAGGTTTTTTAAATCATTTTGATTTATTTGATAAACCATTTCGCAGTACAATGTACACACCTTGACAATTTTTGAAACAGCAAATGCATAAAATGTATAAATCTGTCCCAAGTAAATACCACCATCTATCCTTCATGTACCAGATAATATATTTTAGATTAAGAAGGAGTGATGGTGAAAGTTTAGCCTGCTTTAGTAGTTAGTAAGATGGGCCAGCTTTTTCACTTTTGACAACACTCCCATGACAGTATTATTCAACCACAAATATTTTTCACACTGGAGAAACTCAAATGCTTCACTTCATCAATGTGGTTCTTGTGAATCTGGAAGGCAGGAACTACCCACAGGAACACTGATTACTGTACCAGTTGAAAGATCCCAACTTAGGTCTGCACTTTGGGCAAAATAAGTATCTATCCAAAACACCAAGTAGTGCAGGCTCCATCCATTGCAGTGGCTTAATAAAATATGATGTACCTGTGGTCTGATCCTGTCTCTGAGTTTGCATCACCTTCTTGTGAATAAACACATTTGGTCCAGATCCAAGTATATTATTCAAAGTACTGGAGCAATGAAATAAAGAATGCCTACACTTTCTACACCTGTCAAGAGCTTCATTTGTTTTCTCTAGGCTCATGGGATCCAATGGAAGTATCTCCTGAGTTAAATTCCTTCACTTGTTGATGACTTTCTACAGTTGACACTGTTTGGAGTCAGCACTTGTTAGATCCACTTTACAACCCATCATTTCACATGTTGCAGATTGTGGCGTTTATATCACCTTTTGGACAGTATTCCCTGGAAGCTGCGTACGCGCGTGCAGCTACTCCAGCATTCCCCGCTTGGCAATTAGTGTGCTGAAGCCTGTCGCAACATTGATTTCCACTTCTGGAAGTCACTGTCACATGTGGACCTCAAAGGTTCGCGCAGCTGAAAAATAGAGGGAGCGCTGCATTTGAACCTTCCAAAATTCTTTCAAAAATGGGACAAAAATGTATACAGAGAAAAAACTGTGGGCCATTTTGAAACGTGAAGGGAATAATACTAGTAATTCTTATTAAATGAATGTGGCATGGTTTATTGAGTGAAAAATTAGTACTAAGGTACCTTTCACCACAGTTGATGCATTTTAAAACTGTCAAATTCATCCTCTTCAGTGGTTGAAGCAAAGAGTGAATGAAATTCAATTGACTCTCAGCAGCTCTGATACTATTATCATCGTTCCCAATCTAGATCAGATGTGGTGCTTCCGGTTTCAGAATCTCCCATTCACAGCAAATCACCTTCCTCTCCTTGCGTTGAATGAATATTCTGCATTTTTCTTTGAGCGATCCCATGACAGCTGGTGCATTAGTAATATCTTACAATTTAATAATAAAATCACACAAAATATCAAGAAGGACAGCACGCATATTTTTACTCTTTGTAAAACATTTTTTCCTCTATCAATATTCATCTGTTTCATTTGAAGTGAAAGTGACCTGCGATGGTTTGGTTTGTTGAGGCATATGTTGAACTATAGACATTAGACATCCTTGTATAATTTCCTTATGGGTATTATTGCCTCGCGAGCACCTCTTGGTGTAACCATTTGCGCACTAAAAAGCCGTTAACTTGGGCATTTATTCCAATCATTATCAATTCGTAACTTTACTTCATTTTCACCCATCCAGCAGTTGTTATGGGTATCACAAAAGCCCTTGCAGGGAACTTGATGTTTGTCATTTTACATTTGAAAATTACCATGGGCTTTAACTTGATTCCATCACGAATGCAGGCCATTACCACTGTGAATACATAGAACATAGAGCATTACAGCGCAGTACAGGCCCTTCGGCCCTCGATGTTGCGCCGACCTGTGAAACCAACCTGAAGCCCATCTAACCTAAACTATTCCGTTATCGTCCATATGTTTATCCAATGACCATTTAAATGCCCTTAAAGTTGGCGAGTCTACTACTTTTGCAGGCAGGGCATTCCACGCCCTTACTACTCTCTGAGTAAAGAACCTACCTCTGACATCTGTCCTATATCTATCACTCCTCAATTTAAAGCTATGTCCCCTCGTGCTAGCCATCACCATCCGAGGAAAAAGGCTCCCACTGTCCACCCTATCTAATACCACAATTGTTTTTACCACAACTGCTTTTGAACCTATCCATTCCACATTTTGACTGCCAGGCAAATTGATGGGTGTTTTATCCATGTTTCCAATGTGAACTGATAGGTACTCGTGTTTAATGATGAATTTCTGGAAGCTGGTCATTTTGGGATCTAGGTCTTTTGATACCCTCTGACAAATCTTGGTTTCCTGCCCCAACACTAAACATTTTCATTTCATTAAGCAGCTGCGCGAGATGGCTGTTGGTGTGAAATTTTAACTGCACTTGGATTAATTTGGCCTACTTAACTATTTATATACAGATGGGATTTCTCATGCTGCTGTAGTGGTTCTGACACATGGCTTTGAAAATCGGGCCACTATCTGTTAGTGGTGGCCGTTGGAGTTTTCTTCATGGAAGATTCTTACGTCCAGTCTCACATCAGTTCCCTCACTGCATATGTTGAGGTTGGATAGAACATTGGTGAGGCCTCTTCTGGAATACTGTGTTCAGTTCTGGTCACCCAGTTATAGGAAGAATATTATCAAGCTGGAGGAGGTTCAGAAGAGATTTACCAGGATGTTGCCGGTATGGAAGGTTTGAGTTATAAAGAAAGGCTGGGACTTTTTTCACTGGAGCACAGGAGTTGAGAGCTGACCTGATAGAAGTTTATAAAATAATGAGAGGTATAGATAGAGTTGATGGTAATTGTCTTTTCCCTAAGATGGGGGATTTCAAGGCTAGGGGACACATTTTTAAGGTGAGAGGAGAGAGGTTTTAAAAGAGACAGCCAGTTTTTTACACAGAGGATGGTTTGTGTGTGGAATGAACTTCCAGAGGAAGTAGTGGGTGCAGGTACAGTTGCAGCTTTTAAAAGGCATTTGGATAAGCACATGAATAAGTAAGGTTTGGAGGGATGTGGGCCAGGAGCAGATAGGTGGGACTAGTTTAGTTTGGGACTACGTTCAGCATGGATTGGTTGGACCAAAGGGTCTGTTTCCATGCTGTATGACTCTATGATAAGTTGGCAAATGTTACAATTTCAAGCCTGAAGGTAGCTTCTCTGTTCATTCGTTTTTCAGGTGGCCACATCATTTGCAAACCCATACACAGTCTGCTGCACGTGGATGTGTCTTAAAATGACGCACATTTTCTTAACAACACAGCCGTATCGCCTGTTTAATCCTATGCACTGACTTAGAGTGTACATCTTGCAAGTACAGCACATTGCCGCAGAAAGGATCGATGACTTGATTTATACGTTGAGTATATAGAAAAGCATGAAATCTTGGTGCCAAGAAAATTCAGTCATCTTTATATGTTTGTCAACTTGTTTGCTGTGATCTACAATGTTTGTTTGACTACTTACATAGAGACTTTCGATTATAATAGAAGTGTTTGAAATGAAGTAAAGTCCCTTATTTAAGTAATTCTCCTAAAGGGAGTAACTAGCTTAATCTAGAGAGGAGTCATGACAGGAGATGTCAGACCAATGGTGTGCTCCTCTTGCATGATGTAGGAAATAAGGGAAGCTTCCAGTGTCCCCGACGACTACATGTGCAAGAAGTGTGTCCAGCTCCAGCTACTGGCTAATTGCTTATCAGAGCTGGAGCTGTGGGTGGACTCACTGTGGAGCAACAGTGATACTGAGTGTGTCATAGAAGACAGAAGGGGACATATGTGGATAAATTTCTGCCTGTAGGAATAAGAGGACAATAATAGTAGGAGACTTTAACTAACCCAATTTCAACTGGATTTCAAACAATATAACAAGCATTAAGGGTGTAAAATTCATGTACGAGGAAAATTTGTTAAACAATACGTGACAAGCCCAACATGAGGAGACATAATTCTGGATTTAGTTTTGAGAAATGAAGATGGGCAAGTGGGTGAAGTGACAATGGCAGCCATATCAGAGTTAGTTATAATTCGGTTAGATTTAGTATTATTACGAAAAAGGGCAGGGATAAATCAGGAGTAAAAATTTTAAATTGGCGGAATGAAAATTTTGCAAAAATGAGAAGTGATTTTCATAGACCTCAAGAGACTACAGATAGTCGTGAACACAGCCCAGTCGATCATGCAAGCCAGCCTTCCTTTCAATGACTCCATCTATACTTTCTGCTGTCTCAGGAAAGCGACCAACATAATCAAAGACCCCTCCAACCCCGACTTTGCTCTCTTCCACTCTTTTCCATCGGGCGGAAGATTTAAAAGTTTAAATACATGTACAGACAGATTCAAAAACAGCTTCTTCTCTGCTGTTATCAGGCTTTTGAATGGACCTCTCAAATGTTAATTCTGATCTGTCTCGCTCTGCACCTTCTCTGCAGCTGTAACATTACATTCTCCACTCTGTTCTGCTACCCTGATGGTTTTTTTTCTATTCATTTTGTGGGATGTGGGCATCGCTGGCTGGGCCCAGCATTTCTTGCCCATCCCTAGTTGCCCTCGAGAAGGTGGTTGTGAGCTGCCTTCTTGAACTACTGCATTCCTCCTGCTGTGGGTTGACCCACAATGCCCTTAGGAAGGGAAATCCAGGATTTTGACCCAGCGACAGTGAAGGAACGGCAATATATTTCCAAGTTAGGATGGTGAGTGTCTTGGAGGTGGTGGTGTTCCCATATATCTGCTGCCCTTGTACTTCTAGATGGAAGTGGTTGTGGGTTTGGAAGGTGCTGCCTGAGGATCTTTGGTGAATTTCTGCAGTGCATCTTGTAGATAGTACACACTGCTGCTACTGAGCGTCGGTGATGGAGGGAGTGGATGCTTGTGGATGTGGTGCCAATCAAGTGGCTGCTCTGTCCTGGATGGTGTCAAGCTTGTTGAGTGTTGTTGGGGCTGCACTCATCCAGGCAAGTGGAGAGTATTCCTTCACACTCCTGACTTGTGCCTTGTAGATGGTGGACAGACTTTGAGGAGTCAGGAGATGAATTATTCGCCACAGTATTCCCAGCTTCTGGCCTGCTCTTGTAGCCCCTGTGTTAATGTGGTGAGTCCAGTTGAGTTTCTGGTTAATGGTAACCCCCAGGATGTTGATAGTGGGGGATTCAGTGATGGTGATACCATTGAATGTCAAGGGATAGTGGTTAGATTGTCTCTTATTGGTGATGGTCATAGCCTGGCATTTGTGTGGCACGAATGTCACTTGCCACTTGTCAGCCCAAGCCTGGATGTTGTCCAGATCTTGTTGCATGTGAACATGGACTGCTTCAGTATCTGAGGAGTCACGAATGGTGCTGAACATTGCACAATCATCGGCGAACATCCCCACTTCTGACCTTATGATGTACTTTGTATGGTACGAGCTGCCTGTATAGTTTGCAAGTGATTCGGCTGAGGTGGACTAGACAAGACTGCCAACGGATAAACCAGTGGGAGGCACTAAAAAGTGAGATCCTTCAGGCACGAAACAGACATGTCCCATCAAAAATAAGAATAGTATTGCCAAATCTAGACTCCCATGGTTGTTCGAGGAAAAATACAGGAGAAGATTACACATAAACAGAAAGAAAACTTATGATATTCACAACAAAACTTAACACTGAAGACAGCCTAGAGGAGTATAGAAAGTGCAGGGATCAAGTTAAAAAAGAATAAGAAAATCAAAGAGAGGGCATGAAAAAACATTAGCAAGCAAGACAAAGGAAACCCTAAAGATGTTTAATCAGTATATAAGGAGCAAAAACATTTTCAAGGAAAAAGTGGGATCTATCGGAAATGAAGAAGGGTACTTGTGTGAAGATGCAGAGGCTATGGCAAGAATTTTTAGTGAATTCTTTGTCTCTATAGTCACAAAGGAAAGGGATGATTTGGATATAGTAATCTACGAGGAGCAGTGTGAAATATTGGACAAAATAACTGTTAAGAGAGGAAGTGTTAAAGGAGCTGGAATTTTTGAAAATGGATAAGTTACCAGTGCCAGATGGATTGTTCCCTAGGATCTTGGAGGAAGACAGGGAGGAAATAGCAGATTCTCTGAGGATTCTTTTCCAATCTTCTCTAGACACAGGTGAGGTGCTTGAGAAATGCAAATGTTGTTCCATTGTTTAAAAAAGGTACAAAGGAATGCCAAACAATTATAGGCCAGTTAATCTGTAGTGGGCAAATTGTTAGAATCAATCCTGAGTGATCAGATAAGCTGTCACTTAGAAAGGCATGGTCTAGTCAGAGATAGCATGGTTTTGTTAAGGTTATGCCTTACAAATTTGATTGGATTATTCAAAGAAGTGATAAGGATATTTGATAAGTGTAGTGAGGGAATACATTTAAGGAGGTCAAACAGTAAAAGTGAATACACAGTAAATGGGAATATACTGAGAGGGGTAGATGAAGTGAGAGACCTTGGTGTGCAAGTGCACAGATCCCTAAAGGTCGCTGTACAGGTAGATAAGGTTGTAAAGAAGGCATATGGAATGCTCTCTTTCATTGGCAGAAGGATCAAATGTAAAAGTAGGGATATGAACATGAAACTGTATAGGACATAAAAATACTGAATGGCCTGGACAGAGTGGATGTTGGGAAGATGCTTCCATTGGTAGAAGAGACTAGGACCCGAGGGCACAGCCTTAGAGCAAAGGGAAGACCTTTTAGAACGGAGATAAGGAGAAACTTCTTCAGCCAGAGAGTGGTGAGTCTATGGAATTCACTGCCACAGAAGGCTGTGGAGGCCAGGTGATTGAGTACATTTAAGACTGAGATAGATAGGTTCTTGATCATCAAGGGTTACAGGAGAAAGCAAGAGAATGGGGTTGAGGAACTTATCAGCCATGATTGAATGGTAGAGCAGACTCGATGGGCCGAATGGCCTAATTTCTGCAGCTATGTCTTATGTCTCATGGTCTTAAGACACTGGTGAGGCCATCACTGGGGCTTTACAGGAAGGATGTAATTGCTCTGGAGAGAGTGCAGAGAAGATTGATCAGAATGTTGAGGAACGGTCACTGGACCTGAAACATTAACTCTGATTTTTTTTCACAGATGCTGCCAGACCTGCTGAGCTTTGCCAGCAACTTCTGTTTTTGACTAGAATGTTTCTAGAGCTGGACAGTTGTAGCTACGAGGAGATATTGGAGAGGTTGGGGTTGTTTTCCTTGGAACAGAAAAGGCTAAGGGGTGACATGATTGAGGTATACAAAATTGTGAGGGGTAGAAATAGAGCGGACAGGAGGAACCTATTTCCCTTGGCAGAGAGTTCAAAAACCAGGGATCATAGATTCAAGCTAAGTGGCAGAAGGATTAGAGGGGATGTGTGGAAAAAACGTTTTTTCACAGAAGGTAGTGCGTGTATGGAATTCACTGCCCGAGCTGGTGGAGGCAGAGACCCTAAATCCTTTTTAAAATAACCTGGATCTGCACCTTTAGATGCTGTAAGCTGCAGGGCTATGGGTCATTTCCAGGAAGATGGGATTAAAAGGGCATCTAGGTGCATTGGGTCAGCATGGAGAAGATGGGCCAAATGCCCCCTTTCTGTGCTGTATCTTTTCTAAGGTTCTATTTCTGCTTGCTTCATTTAAGCAATTGGCATGCAGAACTTTGTTCATGTATAAGATATGAAAACAGAAAGTATGGAAATACTCAGCACATCAGTCAGCATCGGGCGATAGGCTATTGACCTGAAATGTTTACTCTGATCCACTCTCCACCGACGTTGACTGAGCTGTTAGAGTATTTCAGCATTTTATGTTGTTATTTCAGATTTCCATTACATGCAGTGTTTTGCTTTAGTTTATATTATAAGCTGGCTGTGTTGCATATTCTCTAATTTTAAGCAATGGAAACATCCTAATTTGATTTGTTTTTCTGTTTTCATTTCAGAATGACATCTCCTTAATCCTCAGCAAGCCTTGCATGGACTTGATGAGTACTTAGAGTTTCAATAATTTGTACAGTACATTCAGGACCTCGCACTCTTTCACATAAAGAATGGTACAACAGATCACAATCACTCCAATTTGCTGCAAGAAACCTCAGGACATTAGTTTTCTGACTGGATTGCATATTCGCCTGTGTATATGTCTGGAGCGCACAGTGTGCGCACACATGCAGTACAGCGAATCTGCCTCTGTTCCTTCATCAGCACATTCTACTTCAACAATCTCTGTAAACAAATGGGAAGACTGCCATCAATGCAACTCAGATGCCTAACCTGGACTGGAATACACAAACATTTTAACCTTGACTTTCACGTGCTGCTGAAACATTTAAGGTTTTCACTGTAAATTATTAAGTATAGAAGTATTGATTTTTAAAAGTTGCTAATGTTTGGAAAATACATAATAATATTTAACATTTTTGCTTCCTTTATATTGATACTTTTTTGAACTGAAAATGTAATTTTTTTTCTGATGCACATGCATTATTGATGTGTCCGAGATAAATTTCCAGTTCTGTTATAAACAGGGATTTTTTTTTTTTTTGTTTAAGACTTGTGAATATATGCAGTACAAATGGATTATATTTCTGTTCTTGGATGAAAGCAGTTTATACATAGCATAATCCTGAAGTGCAGGCTTTGGTGAATTGTCATATTCATCATTATGGCTATTGTACTAGTAATGCAGCCCTCTTGTCTTGGGTTGATTTAACAATAATTTTGTACTCTTCCACTCTGTGAGATACATTGCTGTCAGGAGATGCTGACATTACTGTACTGTACATAGTACTCGAATGTCAGTGGAATTTGAAACCATAGTCAAAAGCAATCAAATTGAGTCTTCCTTTTCTTTGTGTATATATAATGTACCTGGACAGCATATACATACATAACCTGCCCCAGAATCGACAATATTGTGGTTGTAATTTCTGGATACTGACTCCTCATCCCTGCAAGTAATAAATTAGAAAATGATTATATTTGTTCCTCTTGTGGTTTGATTAAATGATAGATTATATCCTTAGACCTCATAAAATGTATTTCCTTAAAATTTCATTCATAAATTTGCCAGGAGTTACAAAACGTGGTTGCTTCTGGTAACACAAAGGGATGTGTATTTGAACATTCATAGAACATATGAACAGTACAGCACAGCACAGGCCCTTCAGCCCACGATGTTGTGCTGACCTACTCCGATCAAACTACCCTGCATACCCTACATTATACTATCATCCATGTGCCTATCCAAGAGTCGCTTAAAAGTCTCTAAAGTATCTGACTGCACTACCAATGCCGGCAGCACATTCCACACGCCCACCACTCTCTGTGTGAAGAACCTATCTCTGACATCTCCCCTATACCTTCCTCCAATCACCTCAAAATTATGCCCCCTCATAATAGCCATTTCCGCCCTGGGAAAAAGTCTCTAACTATCCACTCTATCTATGCCTCTCAGCATCTTGACAACCTCTATCAAGTCACCTCTCATCCTTCTTTGCTCCAATGAAAAAGGCCCTAGCTCCCTCAACCTTTCCTCATAAGGCCTGCCCTCCAGTCCAGGCAGCATCCTGGTAAATCTCCTCTGCATCCTGTCTAGAGCTTCCACAACCTTCCCAAAAATGAGGCGACCAGAACTGAACACAATATTCCAAGTGTGGTCTAACCAGGGTTTTATAGAGCTGCAGCATAACCTCGCGGCATTTAAACTCCATTTCCTCTGCCAATGAAAGCCAACACACCATACGCCTTCTTTACAACCCTATCAACTTGGGTAGAAACTTTGAGGGATCTATGGATATGGACCCCAAGATCCCTCTGTTCCTCCACACTGCCGAGAATCCTGCCATTAACCCTGTATTCTGCATTCAACTTCGACTTTCCAAAATGAATTACTTCACACTTTTCTGGGTTGAATTCCATCTGCCACTTTTTTGCCCAGCTCTGCATCCTGTCAATGTCCCGTTGCAACCTAAAACAGCCCTCCATGCTTTCCACAACTCGTCCAACCTTAGTGTCATCGGTAAACTTACTAACCTACCCTTCCACTTCCTCATCCAAGTCATTTATAAAGATCACAAAGAGCAGAGGTCCCAGAACAGATCCCTGTGGAACACCACTGGTCACCAAGCTCCAGGCTGAATACTTTCCATCGTCTACCACCCTCTGTCTTCTATTGGACAGCCAGTTTTGTATACAGACAGCCAAATTTCCCCGAATCCCATGCCTCCTTACTTTCTGAATGACAATTGATTCAGATGCGAAAGTTAACACTGTTCAGATGAATTCCAAAAATGCAATGGTAATTTGGGATTTGAAATGTGTAGAAGTGGAATTTCAGCAAAGGGTTAAGGTAAGGAATCTGATCCTGGCGACAATGAGATGAAACAGGATCAGGAAACATGCCTTGTATTAATAATAATAGTACGTGGTTGAAGAATAAGTCCCTCCCAGAAAGAGTTTCTAATTTGTGCATTAGGATGTGAATTGGGTACTGACATTAGGTAGAAGCATGCAGGACAAAGTTCCCTTTATTCTGACCAAATAATGTGGATGATTTTCTAATTTGTCTTACAAGCATAAAAATGGCATGTGGAAATGGGCCAAGGATCACTCCTTCCAAGCTAACAACTGTCCAGTCGTCTTCAAGTTAATGTGGAAATAAAAAAAACATTTGAACAAATTTTGAGCAAGCTATTTCTTGCTGTTAGAATTAGGTTTTATTGTTACAATGCAGTGACTGCCCAAGTCTTGTCTTTTCACTGACAGGATGCTGACATCAGTTCAAAAGGATTTACCACACTATTGAGCAATGTCGTGTACGACTTCAGCCAGAATGATGTCAGGTAATTGGTTATATATCCTAGTGACTGGCTGATCGAATCAAACAGCATGTTCTTTCAATTATTCGTAGTAGGTAGAATACAGACCATACTCGACCAGCCTGCACTTACAAAACCCAAAACAAAGCACCAACTGTTAGATGTGATTGAGTAGCACTTGCTGAACAATTCTGAGTGTCTAAATAAAAACCGAAAGAACTGTGGATGCTGTAAATCGGGAACAAAAACAAAGTTGATGGAGAAGCTCAGCAGGTCTGGCAGCATCTGTGAAGGATAAAACAAAGTTAACGTTTCGGGTCTGGTGACCCTTCCTCAGCTTCTCCAGCAACTTTGTTTTTGTTCCTTGTTTTAATTCTGAGTGTCTAGTAGCTGCAGATAAACAGTTGTGCTCATAGAGTTATACAGCACGGAAACAGGCCCTTCAATCCAACTCGTCCATGCCGACCAAGTTTCCCAAACTAGTCCCATTTGCCTGAATTTGGCCCATATCCTTCTAAATCTTTCCTATTCGTGTCCAAATCTCTCTCAAATGTTGGTATTGTGCTTGCATCTACCGCTTCCTCTGGCAGTTCATTCAACATACGAACCACCTTTTGTGTGAAAATATTGCCCCACGTATCCCTTTTAAATCTTTCGCCTCTCACCTTAAAATTATGCCCTTTGGTTTTGAAGTCCCTAACCCTTGGGAAAAGTCCTTTGCAATTCACTGTATCCATGCCTTCATGATTTTATAAACCTCTATAAGGTCACCCTACAACCTCCTATGCTCCTGGAAAATGTGCTAGCTTATCTAGCCGCTCCTTAGAGCTAAACCCTCCAGTCTTGGTAACATCCTTGTAAATCTTTTCTGTACCCTCCCCAATTTAATAATATCCTTCCTATGACAGGGTGACCAGAACAGTATACAGTATTCCAAAAGTGGCTCACCAGCATCCTGTACAACCTCAACATGATGTCCTCACTCCTACACTCAATAGTCTGAGCAATGAAGGCAAGTATGCCAAATGTTGTCTTTACTGATCTGTCTACCTGTGATGCAACTTTCAATGAACTATGTACCTGAAGCCCCTAGGTCTCTGTTCTACAACACCCCCAGGACCCCACCATTAACTCTAAGTCCTATCCTCGTACCAAAATGTAACGCCTTCACATTATAACATGGCTGTTTTTGCTTGCTGGATTTGATACAGATTCATACAGAGGGAATGGCTCTATGCAAACAAAAAGAATGTGTTCAAACCTTGCATCTTTTTTAAAATTGCCCAAAGACTTGGGGAGCCTACAGTTTTCCATTACTTTCTGTATGGTAATATCTCAGCTAATCGGAGTTGACTTGCCGACCAGTCAGTATCCTTTTCTGTTGTATCTGATCTTCTGAAATTGTAGCCTGCCTGTATTGTCCTGGTCATGCTGATGCTTGTATTTATGCCTCTGTTTTCAGCAACATGAAAATTGGGATGGCAGATTAGCTACCCATTATAGATGCTACCCAACATATTTATATTGAAATAGTTGAGTGAAATATCAAGCTGTAGGTGTAACAAACAGTAAATGTCAAATGCTTGTTTAAAGATGAGGGTGTGAGTTCTTTTTAAAAAAAAAATTCCCCAGTATCTTAATCCCAAAATTGGAACAACAACTTCCCATTGTACTAGTGTGGCTCATTTCATTTCTGTGGCCTCCAGGTCAATCTCAAAGTAAGCCTTGATATTTTATGCACTTTTGGGAGCTTTGTGCAAAGAAATTACAAGCAATAGTAATGGAACGAAATTGCCCCCAAATTCAGTTTACTTAGTTTAAATTTGATACAATAATCTAACATTTTATGCATTCTCAGTCTGATTTGGGTTTGAGCATGAGAACGAGTGGCAAAGAAGTAGTATTTATCATTGTTTTACATGTTTGTCTCTTTAATATTAAACATGTATAATAAGGAAGATCTCTATTGAGATGTTTACTTACAGTAGCAATGACCTACAAATGTTACCACTTTTTTTTTTAATTGTTCTAAATAAATGTCTTCAAGGACCAGGCCGATATACTAACTCTTTCTTGTTTCACTGGATTGCCAGTGGCATCTATTCTTGACCTGTGATTTTTGTAGGTTTTTAAACATGTAGCCATTTCTCCCTGATATAATACATTATAATGATTTGCTTCTAGCTACCATGACAATGCTTACAATCGGTTCATCTGTGATTATCTCACACCGTGTCATTTGACTGCATGCCTGATAATTTAGCCCGTGAATTCCATATTTGTCGGAAGCATAATAACTGTCAGGCTTAAGTGATTTACAACAGAAGTGCTGAAACCAAAACGTGAAGTTTTTCCGGCTATCAAGTTCCAGATGGTTTCTGTTTTATATGAAGAAACAATCACACTTCCTTTAAGTTGCTTTTTTTGTTCTAAGAGACTATGTTTGCTCAATTTATGACCTTATGACTATCTAGAGAAGTTATTTTAACAAGAGCTAAGAGAAGCCAATGAGTGAAACTACCAACAGGAGCAATAATTGGCTTCGAAATAACCCTTTACTGCGATCACTTACCGTGGGATATGCCTGAGCAGTGACATTAAAAGAACAGGTTGTGTAAACAGCTGACTGTCACTGTGCTTCAAACTGTCACCATTCAACACCATTGGATTTCAGCTACATTAAAGCTGAAGCTTTTGTTTTCCTCCTTTTCTGTTCCATTTTAACCTTCGCAAATCCAGAATTCAGATCATGGTAAACTTTGTTGTTAGTCTTTGGGTAGTGCAGACCTGTAGTCCTACCCATCTATTTTCATTTATAATTGAGACAAGAAGATATTTAATGGGGAATAAATGATTTTATAATTAATATCACAGAATTGTATGGCGCAGCAAGAAGCCATTTGGCCCATCATTGACAAACACCTCCAGTCCTGACCTTATGATGGATGGAAGGTCATAGACAAAGCAGCAGAAAATGGTTCTGCTGAGGACACTACCCTGAGGAACTCCTGGAGCTGAGATGACTGACCTCCAACAACCACAGCCATTTCTTGTGTGCCACGTGTGACTCCAAACAGCAGAGAGATTTCCATGATTTCCATTGACTCCTTACAGACCCAATGTTGAGTTCAACAATTTTAGGGCTTGAACACTTTCTCGCA